GGTCTTCTCGTGCTGTCTCTCGCGGGCTTCGACCTTCTCCCTCCTGAGTCGCTGAGTGGTAGTTGCCGACTCAGCTTGTGCTTGTTGTCGAGCTGTCTGAGTTCTCGAGCTATGTCGGACTTCAACCTCTGTGGGGCTCTGGTGACTCTGGTCGATTCCGACCCCGTTACTCAGACCCTCCGAAGCGACAAACTCTTTAGCTTCTCTGATTGCCTTTGCCTCGTTGGCTTTTCGTTCTTTGTCTGTTTCTTTGTGCTCAAGATCTCGTTGACGGATGCGGACGTATTCCTTGATCTCTGGCCGACTCATGCCCTGCAGCTGCGGCTCAAATACAACCTTGTCATAATGCAGCCAGAGGGCGCCAGCACCAACTGGAAAATTGCCATCGACATATCGCCCGTCTCTCGTAACCCTCTGTACTTTGACTCGGAAGCAGTCCGTTCCTCCAACAACCCCATACACGGCGTGCTTATCTTCATCGCGAACCTCAGATGAATCTGCCCAGTAGCCAAGAAGCACTCCGGTTGGCTTGGTATCAGCAGAGGGAGAAGATTTTGGAGTCGCAGGAGATGCAGCGTTAACTGCTTTGAAACTTGGTGTCTGATTCATGGGATGACGGGGAAGCGACTGCCGATGCTGAGAGGATCGACCAGTTGATGGGCGTTGAGCGAACCCCTTTGTTGGGGGAGTTGTCATCTCGTGGGCACCTATATCCTGGATTATAGACCGTGCACGCACGACAGCTTTCGTGTCTGCCTGTTGCCGCTCTTCTTCGGTGGCCTCGGGCTGTGCCTCAGATCGGATTCTCACGTACTCCTTTATCTCTGATGCGTTGAGCGACGCGAGGTGAGAATCAAAGAGGATGCGAGAGAAGGTAACCCAGCACCCTCCCGGGCCGAGAGGGATGTTGCCGATAAGCTCTTCACCTCGGCGGTTCATACCGTAAATCCTAGTGCGAAGTCTGTCGTGAATGTCGATAAAGCCAAAAATAACATGTTTGTCGTCATCATTGGGCTGGTCCGAGTCGCGCCAGACTCCGATGATGACGCCTCGGATCTTTTGAGACTGCTTGGGGCGCTTTATAGAAGGCTCTTCAGAACGCAGTTGCTCATCTGCGTTGTAATTCACAGTAGAAGAGCGCTTGCGCTTAGGGAAATCGGGGACAACATCCTCTTCATCCTCATCCACGGCATGTCCGTTCTGGACTGGCAAGGGCGGAATGTTGGCGGGCGCATCTTCTTGAGGCCCTTCGACAATTATGCCCTTTGCATCCTGTGCATGGTCAGTCACGGGATCGCAAAATACTTGAGCGGTACAAGTTGTGACAATAATAGGATACGGGCCTGAGATATACTCACCTCAGCAGGGGCGGCGACACCCAGAGAGTTGCCATGCGTGTCGCGAAGGGGCGTGGTTCTGGGGGACATTCTGTCGCAGGGTCATTTAGTGGATGGTTTGGAAACAACCTGGTTTTGTGTAGCCGAGGAGCAAAATAAATGCAAGATGTTACAGACGTGGCAGCTTGAGAGTCGCGATAAGGGAAAACAAAGCGAGAAAACAAAGTAGGTCCAACTTGACTCTTTTAGCAGCGGAGGAAGCGGAAGACGCGACGGATGAGTGATAAAAAGAGTAAGAGTAGTGTCGCGTGTTATCGCGGTGGCTTTTGATGATTACTGTGCAAGGTTTCTTTCTCGGAAGTTCTTACAAACGGGGGGTTGCTGAAGTAGTGTAGGTATAGGGTTTATATGACAAATTATGGTGTGAGGAACGGAAATAGTTTCGCTTGAAACAGTCATAGGTAAAAATAAAATAAAATAAAAGGTCGAGGTGAAATGACGCCTTGCGAGTAAAGCATGAGGGACGCGTGGAAACGACGATGAGGTACCATGTAGCAGTACCAAAGGAGCAAGGGTAATATATACTGACCTGGCTGGAGGAGGGGGGGCGTGTGGCGACTCGAGATCCATGGAGTCGACACTCGGAGGCGTCACCTGCGACTCGGAGCTTGAGGAGGTCAGAGGCTCCATGGCTGGGGTTGGTGATGGTTAAGGTTGGGGAGGACCGTCCAGATGGCGTGTCGAGCAGGCGTTATTGAGAAGGGAGTTTTTTTTATTACGGGGATGGGAGGGGGTTGTGGTGGGTTAAGAGAGGAGAAGGCGGAAAACTGAGACAGAGGCTAAAAACAAGCTGAGGGAGAAGAGGAAGGTGAGGATGAAGGACGTGGAAAGAGAGAGAGAAAGTGAAGATGAACAAGACTGGGAAGAATAATTTCAATCAGGTCAATCAATCAATCAATGCAAGCGAAAGAGCAGGTCGAAACGTGCGAAGAGGGCGCTAGTCCGATTCCGCCGCTATGGGAGTGACGAGTGGAAGGGCGGGCAGTTGTGTTGCAAGGGGGGAAATGGAAAATTCATAAAGGGGATTTGGGTTGGGGCCGCGCTATTATTGATTGATTGACTGATGGACTGATTCACTAACTGATAGACTTGGCGGGCGGATTGATATGGAGCGAGCGAGGGAATCAATCACAATCACCTAATATGAGAGGCAGCAGGCAGTGCACCCATACAACCGGCCGGCCTCCATTGGACTCTGGTCATCCTTGTTTGTAGCGCTGCAGCTAACCGGCCATACATACATTCATCATTTCAGGCCCTCGTCATCTTGACGAGGGCCAGTTTCCCCAAATGCCCACGCCCACTGGGCTTTCTACTCCCAGCAGGTCCAGGGCAACCGCTCGAGGCATGCAGAAAACGGGTGGTCTGGTAGCACAGGACATGCTGCCACCGTCGTCGTCGGCCTAGCTAGAGTTGGTTTGTGTATGTGTTGTACGTCTTTGCCAGGTAGAGCTACACACAGCGAACACAGTTGCCTCCAAGTCTGCTGTGTCTCACGCCCCGCGGCCTGTTCCTCTCCCTCGCCCTCTCCCTCGCCCTCGCCCACTGCCACCTCCTCCTCCCCTTCGTCGAGTCCCTCCCCCCTTTGCGCTGTGGCCGCTCCCTCCATCGAACCTCTCGTACAATTTCTCTTCTCCGAAGGCCGCTTCGCTTAGCTGCAAATAGCTAATCACGCCCTGGTCAACTACGGCCAGAACCACATTGCGCCAGCCATGTTGCAGCCTCTGGTAAGTCTTTTGCGGCCCCGTCAGGCCAGCACTGGGTGGCTCCCACCGCGCGCTCTCAAACAGCGAGGTCATTTGCACGAGGGTGGGAATGGTGCTGAAACGTGCGTCAGTTATCGCCATACGGAAGTCAGAAGGGCCAGGGCTGCTCTTGGCGAACGTAGGGATTTTCGTGGGCCTCCATAGGTCAAAGACAATGCGGTATGGGAACTCGGGGTTTTGTGAGACGCTGTTCGGAGTTGGGGATGGCTTGTGTCTTGGGATGATTGCGATCTGCCGGTAGATAGAATTGTAAGAGCGGTACATCCCGGTCTGTACCAGAGGGCCGTCTGCAGCATGCTTGACATCCTCCTCAGCAAAGAACCTGCCAAAAAGCCAGGTGAAGAGACTTGGTGACTCAGTCGTCGCCTCAACTGCCAGTCTGGACACCGGTGCCGTGGGTTCCCACTCAGGCGCTCGCAAGACCACATATCCGGTCCTCTTGAGATTGGCGTAAACTATGTATCTCTCGAGACTGACCTTGCCCTTGTCGCTATCTTGTCCTACGAACATGGCATAGGCAGCCTGAAGACTCATAGGGGCCTCTTCATCCTCCACGCCCGTCTCGTCTTGGTATCGTAATATTTCATCGCTCTTTTCCTTGCCTAGAATCCTATTAAAGGTGGAGGGCAAGGGCCATCGCAAATCTAAATTTCCTCTCTCGAGCAAGTACAGCGCTTCTTCTGGCAACAACCATAGAGTTGTGCGCTTCTTCCCCAACGTAGTCTTTCCCATAGTTCGGAAATGCGGCCCTTTGGATGACTCGACTAGGACGACATGGTCATCATCGAGGCCTTTCCTCCACTCCTCGACAACGGCTTTATCTCTATCCAGCCCCTCCATGCCATAATAGAAGGCCTTTACATGTACCCTTGGGGTGTGGATCCGGGTGTAATCCAAGGCATCATGCATAGCCTGCCTACTAGCGCTCAGTAGGTCATCTTGGTGCTTTGTCCCATGCCGCTCAAAGTCCTTCTCCCCACGCTTTGGGATTTGGTAACCAGATTTAGCCGTCAAAGACGCCAGGAGGAGGAAGTCTTGTGTCTCGTCGCTTGGGTCATGGTCTTCGTCTACATTGGATTGTGCGTTGAAGGGTGGGTCTTCGTCGATGTCCGCCATGGCAAAGCACGGGGTAGTTCTAGATATGTCGAGCGTTGCTAGCTTGACGGTGGAAACTCACTCTCCGCTGGAAAGTTTTTGGACCTCTCAGCCTTGCCCGTCAGGCTAAGCCAGGCCAACTCGGCTGTGTGGGAGCTGGGGCCGACTTTTCTGGTACACCATCACAAATAATAACTTATCTCATTGATAATTGATTTTGCTTGCGGAATATTAACCGTATTGAATCACCAATCTTCAGACTTCAGATTTACAATCTTTCCCAGCCTAAGAAGAGCAGCGCCAAGATTGCCTGACTTGCACGTAGACCAAATTGGTCACCCGTTACGACATTGGCTGGCGTTGGGCTAGCATTAGGTTCACAAAACACTGCTACTGTACTAATTCAATTAAATGGCTTTCAAGGTAAATATGATGGGAAATATTATAGTTCATTGCGCCTTAAGTAAATAGGATACTTTAATAGAATATGCCGTAAAGGAAATGATCAAAGAGGCGACTGGTGCTTGCCGATTGGCGAAAACGAAGCGTATCTCTCACTTTAAGTGGTTAATTTAGCGAAAACACGTGATCAACAAGCTTGTAATCGTAATACTTGTAATAAGGATTTTCAGTCACCTTTATGCCCGCTTAGCTGTAGGTCTACCTGCAGTGGCATATTAATCCAGGGGGTGTATGTACTTCTAGAGCAACACATTGAGTTTATTGCTAATCACTGTTAATAGTTGGCCGAGTGGTTAAGGCGCTGTGTTTAGGTAATCCGTCAGGAAACCTTCACTTTCCGCAGTGGGAAACCGCGCAGGTTCGAATCCTGCAGCCCTCAAAGCGCACATAATTTTTTTTTGGAGTATTGTTTTGACTTGCCGGGAGTCCTTCAACACGTACCCGGAACATGGCTTTTAGCGAGGAAGACAACGTGCTGAAATGATAAGCGAGGGGGAGTATCTGTCGTGTCGTAATTTGTCCAGTTTTGATTGCAGGTAGTGCCAAGATATTAGGAAGTTGGAGTAAGTCTCTATGCAAGGTCTCGTAGTGCATGTCTTAGTTTGCTGGAGTGATTTCACAGGCGTATTTTTGGTTGTCATAACCTCGCATTGCATTTTTAGTGCAAGGTAAGTGCCGACTTGATCCGGAGTTGTGGTAGGCTACTGGTATGTGCCGAAGCGGTTGAAGACTTTATTTAATGCGCTTTACATATTCTATACTGTATATGAAGCTATTCCAGTACCTTCATGCAGTGTGAATAGGCTGAGTGAAGGCCAAGAGGTCACACTCCCGCTAAAGTGAGTGAATATTGGCTGCTTCCATCTTTGCATTCGAAGTCATCACGACTAAGCCATGTCGTACATATGGACACATCCCATGTGGACACATCCCATGTCATATCATCATATCAACCCCAGAGAACGCCGTCGCATGCAGTGTATCCTGGCTCAAATAAACCACGCCACAAACGAGGGCCCGCTGGCCGCCTGCCTGAACGCCATGATCCTGGACCTGGTTTCCCTGAGGTGATGGGGATCTTAAGGTAAGTCTTGGGTGTTGACGCATATCTCCTGAAATTTCAGGATACTCACTATCCGCATCATTGCATAGAAGCCAACACCGAGATTAACGTAAGAGGTAATTTTGCTCACTCAATTACCATCTTCCGTTGCCCTCCAACCATCGTCCATCCTAATGCTCGTAGGGCATCTCTGTCGTTTGCTCGTATTATCGTGCAAGCCGGTAGCATAGGGTTTTTTGCGTCAACATGAGCGGCCTCCTTCGCTGCAAATTCGATTGCATCCATCTCCTCCTTGCAATCCTGCTGATCGAGGGGACAGACTACTATCGGCTGTCTTAATAGGATATCTCTAGACCCGGACATGTGTGCCTGAAAACGTTAGCTGATTTGACTATAGCCTAGCAGCCACCCTTACCTTGATTGTCAAGTAGAATTCAATCTTATAGAGAGATCCAGTCGTAGTGAACGAATTGACTGAATACATCGGAAACCCAGGCTTCCCTCGACGGATAATGCCCTCGGCATCTCGTAACTCTTTGGCAGGAAATACAAGTCCCAGATTCGTAAAGTATCCAGTCTCCGGCAGCCTTACTCCAACAGTTTGCGTGTGCTTTGCAATTCGATTTACCTTTTTTGTCGGTTCGTCACCCTCAGGGTTATATGTGATCTCCTCTTCTATCCCGATAGTGATCTTCTGTATCATGACCTTCTTTGCCTTACTCATCCAGTTCGGGTTTGGTGACAGCTTTATGTAGACACTGACGGGGTCCAGAGGGCCGTATGACCATCGAGGTAATGATATACCGAGAGTCACTAAGTGATCTGCCGTCTTCTCAGCAGCTTCGGGTCGGTTGTACATCCCGAAAGTTGAAAGCGTATCGTATCTCTGTATCGGTACTGGAAACGCAAACTTCTTTTGTTCTTGTCCCTGTTGGACTGTAACTACTAGTTCATAGAAGGTCTCCGCTGTCCGACTGGGAAGCTGTAATGAAGCCGGTGGTATTCGCCTGTTGCTCTCTTCTCCTCCTCTACCAAACGGTATAAATAGCACAAATGGTAGATCCATCAACACCACACTCTCGGCATCCTTCCCAGAGGGACACCGGAAGAGCAGCAGCTCCTTCCCCACAATATCTGTCGTCTCTCGCCGAGGCGTTCCTAGATGCTTCTTTGCGAGTGACTCTGCAGAAGGATGGATTGTTTCTCGCCGTTGTAGACAAATTCGGACTAAAGATATCGCTACAGGCGCGGACACGCCAGTGAGGGGCCTAATCTCTACCTTACCCTCTATGCGGGGCTTGAAGCCGATCTGTCAGTAAACGCACATAGAGCCGCGTGAAAAGAGAGCTTACCAAGGTCGCCGATATCCCGGGATAGCCCACGAGGAAGTTACTGTTGGGCGGCCCCGAGACTCTGACGAACGCGGCCATATTGTCCAGGGCTCACGGCGCCCCTACCGCGCGGTGTGCGCCAAGACGACAGCGCTGCTGACCGACAGCGTGATATGGATGCGATCTTGGGATCGCATAGAGTGAAGGCGTGGGCACGGCGTGTGGCGATCCAGGGTTGGGCAGGTACAAAGAGCTCGTCGTCACCATAAGCAATAGGGAGTTGTCGGCAACAATGGGAACAGTTGGTTGAGAACGGACGCAGGCGCTTGGGTCCCGATCGCCTCTCTAGACGGTCCTGGGAGAGCAGGTAGACGTTAAGGCAAATTGCACGAGATGCAGACGGATCCCAGGGTCGATCGCGTTCATAAGCAAGAAGAACACTCCAGAACGCTGGCCCAGGCTTGATAGGAATCGATGTCGCTTATGACCAACTCGGGCTGAGAGTTGACGGAAGCTACCTTAACTGGGGGGGCATAAAAATGAGCCCCGCCTCGGCCGGCGACGCGCTTCTATTTGCTCGGTGCAGCCCTATGAGACTTGATAGTCGACCTCACACGACCACGGCCACGACGACGATGCTGGCGAGTGCTGACGCGCCCCATCATGTCTGTCACTCTACACACCAACCTCGGCGACATCAAGATCGAGGTTTTCTGCGACAGCGTGCCAAAGACCGCAGAGGTACCGTCCAACACTCTCCACAGAAGAGCATCTCATGCTGACCAGTCTGTAACAGAACTTCCTGGCTCTCTGTGCATCGGGCTATTACGATGGCTCCCTATTCCACAGGCTCATACCTAATTTTATGATCCAGACCGGGGCGCCTCCATCGCAGCCGAAAGGGGGCCAGTCTATATGGGAAGAACCGTTTGAAGACGAAATTCGCCCCGCCCTTCGACACAACGCCCGAGGGATCGTGAGCATGGCGAACAAAGGGCCCGCGACAAATGGAAGCCAGTTCTTCATCTGCTTCGATAAGGCTCCACATTTGGATGGTAAGAATACCGTCTTCGGCCACATCCTTGGGGACGACAGTTTAGAGACCCTAACGAAAATGGAGGCTGTTGAGGTGGATAAGAAAAGCCGGCCTAAGGAGGAAATCAAAATTGAGAACGTCACGATCCATGCGAATCCGCTGGCAGACTGAAGGATTGATTAGGGTGGCCAAGAATTTTAGCATATTTGCGACTTGAGGCGAAGCTTCATGTCAAATATGCTCCTGTTGCTCATCGTTAAAGGATGCAGTACACCAGACCTGTTTGAGGATGAGAATACACTCATATATAAATGGGGCACGGGGATAGAGGGATTTGATGCCAAGGAAGTGGGATCTTGGGTGTAAGATGGTCTAGAGAGTGCTCAACCGATTAATGGCCAACACATAACACATAACATAGACCTGACGGAATCAGTATAAAACTGCACCAGTTCACATGAGAAGCATAAAACAATCCGATTAATCCAGCACCCCGATGCAAATGTCCTGCAAACACAAAGGGAATCAAGAATATACAGTTTCATTGATACGGCGCCTGATCTTCCGGAGACCTGTTATCTAGCCTTCCAGAATGCAATGTCATTGTTATACCTCCCTGAGAATATGCAGTATTTCAACAGCAAGCGGCAATGCTACACAATACTGAACCCTGTCATCATAATCAGATCACTCGTAGTCTAAATCTTCCGTTGCGGCGATAATACTTTCATGAGTCTACATCCTTATCGGACTGGACGGTGCTGACCCATGCCTAATCCTATAATTTCGAATATGATAGGATTCATCTCAACAGCCAACCATCCAATGCCTGCAAATATTAGCTGTGCCAGTTGGTAGTGCTTAGAGAACTCACCCGAATAGACTACAAGCTTAGTGACGACTTCTACATCGTATCTCACCCGTGGCTTCTCAAGCTGGGAGAAGATTTCCGTCTCTCCCAGCTCGTTCTGATCGTCGACAAGCGCTTCTTCCGCATTGCCATCGCGCACGGACTCTGAAATTGGTTGTGTAGACCCCTGTAAAACGCGACCCTGCCCCATCATCTGTTCATATGAGCCAATTTTCGACTGCGCTTGAGTGGGCAAGTTTCCGGTTCCCGCGGATCCTACTACAGATGATATGCCAGAGACTTGTGACACCACACCATTTTTGTCAGCGCTCTTCTGCTTAGTCGGAGGGCTTTGAGATCGAAATCCTGGTGCTCCTTCAGCAGTTGAGCTGGTCAAACTGTCCCTCCGCCGCTTTTCACGATAGGCTAGGGTTTCGTAGGCGTCTGCTGCTGACTGGGGTCCTACAGATACAGAACGTCCCCGTCCGGGATGTCGAATTGAGTGAAGAAAGCCTGGTAGATCGGAAACCGATGGCATAACATTGTCTACCTTTAGTCCCGATGGGATCTTTTGGTATTCGGAGGCTGACATGAAAAACTTGCGAGGTAAGATGAAGCCCGACCTTTCAATTACTCTGAAAAGATGAGGCAAAACCTTCAACAATGTCGGTTTCATCACTTCTCTCCACGAGAATATGACAAGTACACCCACGAGAATCCGTGAAATGGCAACAAGTAAGCCCATATGTTCGAGATCGAATGGTACCGTCCCCGGAACGGGAACATTTGTTGCCCAACCACTCGCCGCATAGTGCCAGACTCCAAGTTCAACTCCAATCATGACTCCTGCAAATGAAACACTATCATCGAAACAGGGACAATCATCAGCGGGCTCCGGATGGATGCGAACGAGGCATATAATGACAATGGCTATAATTGCAGGTCCAACCCAGGAGCTATTGTGGAGGAATCTGTCCATGCCCGGAGCATACATATACTCAACAGCGGATATGATTGCGCCGATAATACTGCCAATGATAACATCCAAGAAGCCGTGCATTCCACAATAGAGCCGACCAAGAATGATCGAGAAAGCGTA